GAGAGAAAAGGAGTTGCCAGGTTCATGCTGTCTCTTTACAGCAATAAAACCCCAAGTAAGGCAGTGCTTAAAAAATAAATAAATAAAATAAATTAAAAAAAAAAGGTAGATGTGATGTAGAAATGGCTCAGCAGTTAAGAGGGCTTGCTACTCTTCCAAAGGACCCAAGTTCTGTTTCTAGCACCTATGTTAGGCAGTTCAGAACTGCCCATAACTCCAGTTCCAAAGGATATGACACCCTCTCCTGGCCTTCAAGAGCATACACACACTTGGCACATACTCACACAGATACACATTGTACTATACACACATACACATAGACATATACACATACATACATACACACACATATACACATACATACACACACACACAGAGAGAGAGAGACAGACTTTGGAGCTAGAGAGATGGTTGAGCAATTAAGAACCTTTGTTGTTCTTGTAAATGACCAAGGTTTGGTTCCCAACACCCACATCAGGCAGCTCATAGCAACCTATAAATCCTGTTCTAAGAGATCTAATGCTCTCTGCTGGCCTCCAAAGGCACTGCATGCATATAGTGCACATATATATACTCAGATATTAAGTGAGTAAATATTTAGAATAATAATCTTTAAAAAAATAAGGTGGATAGCACACTAACATCAACCTACAGACTACACACACACACAGGTATCAAATAGGATTCAGCAAAATTTGGGGATTAACATTATAATGCAACCATTGCTCCAACTATAATAGGAATTTTTATGATGTTTTTGATAAATGCTAATGTTTAAACTATGTAATTATTATAAATAAGTTTACTCTTCTATAGTTTGATGTTTATAACTTTGTGGTTTGTGTTTGTTTTTCTCACGGAGGACGCATCCTCTGTCATTAGTCCTGACCCCTGACCTAGAGAATTGCCTAAGGCATAAATCAGATGCCACAAATCTAGCTGACCAAAGTTCAGAACAACTTCCAGAAGTTGCTACAGCTGTCTAAGACTGATCCTTCATACAACAGGACCAGAAACCTGGACTGATCAGACTTCACACAATTCACACATTAAAAATAAAGTTAGCAGAATGAGTCAAATTAAATGTCTTGTTATGGGGAACCTCTCAAGATTAGGTCACCGGTAGCATCATCAGGCCAACATCTGTCTCTCCTTCTGGAAGACCCTGTTTGGAATATTATTTTACACTGTATGAATATATGTTGCTGTGATTGGTTGAATAAAGAAGCTGACTGGCCAGTAACTGAATAGGATAAGGTTAGGCAGGAGAGCCAAACAGAGAATGCTGGGAGGAAGAAGGGTGAGCTGAGGAGTCGTCAGCAGATGTAGAGGGAAGCAAGATGGGCATGCCGTACTGAGAAAAGGTACCAAGCCATGTGACAAAGCATAGATAAGATATAAGAGTTAGCTAGTAACAAGCCTAAGCTATTGGCTGAGCATTTATAATTCATATCAAGACTCTGTGATGGGAGAAGCTTTGTTAACCAATCATCTTTAAGAAGTGGAACCTAGTTAAGCCGTGGCTACCTGGAGCCCAGGAAGAAAAACTGGGACAGACCAGGTGCTCGTTCTCTCTGGGTAATTCCTGCGGGACACAGCAGGACTTGGACTTCTCATTCTTGTGGCATGAGTTTCCCCTTATAATAAGTAAAAATATAGTTGTTTATCTTTAAGCTGTGTTGAAATAGGAGCGGCGGCGGGGCTGCGTCCCCAACACCCCTGCCGCTTGGCTAGCTCATGCCCGAAATAACAACACACAAACTGTATTCATTTAAGAACTGCTTGGCCCATGAACTCTGGCCCTTACAGGCTAATTCTCGCACCTGGACTAGCCCATTTCTAATGATGTGTGTAAGCACCCCAAGGTGTGCTTACCGGGAAGAGTCTAGCCTCCGTCCATCCTGATGTCTCTGCTCGGGAGAGCTGAGCATGGTCTCCCTGCTCTAGCCCTCTGGAAGCAGAGCAGAGTCTGACCTCACTTCCTCTTCCGCCCAGAATTCTATTCTGTTTACTCCTCTTATCTATGTTCTAAGCTATGAGGCCAAGCAGTTGGTTTATTACTTAACCAATGAAATCAACAGATTGATATATGACACTCCCACATCAAAGCTGGCCTGGTTATTTCCCAAATCGAGTTAACTTACACAACTCTGTGTGAGTTCTTTGAGAACTGGCATCTGGAAAGAAAAGCCTATCTACAGCCCTGCCCTTTACCGTCTTGCCTGATGCCCATTCATCTCCTGCCCAACAGTGCTCTGAGAACGCGAAGATGTGCCCACCTCCTAGTGAAATTAAATCCTTACTGACAAAAACAAAGACCAGCCAGAACCTCCACAAAGTGCTTGAAGACACAAACAAAAAGTGTGTAGGGAAGGTGACCGGGGCACCTGAAGAACTGAGGGTTAAGAGTTTGTGACAGTGACATCTAGTGACAGAACAGGGCTAACTTAGTTTGCCAATGACCTGTCCAGCGCAGGATGTGGTGCCCACACAAGTCATTCCAGCATGCGGAAGACTGAGGAAGGGTTGCTCAGAGCTAGAATGGGCAACAGAGTGAGCTCAGGCCTGACTGGAAGATAGAACAAGACCCTGCCCCCCAAAAATCAAACCACTCCTGTCTAGGACAGAGAGAACACTGATGGCTTTCTCCCTAAATTTTTCTGGAAGTGGTGCAAAATACTGCACTTTACTTCAATTCCGCTGTGAAGCTTGGTCATTACTTTGTGTCTTTGGGTCTTAAAAGAGTGAAATAGGAAACCAGGCAGAGATGGAAGTACAAAGTAAAAACTGGGAAAAATAAATAGGATCTCAGCTGGACTTGGTGGCTTATTATAATCCTAGCATGTGGGAGGCGGAAGAAGGAGGGTCAGGAGTTCAAGGTCAGCCTCTGCTATATAACAAATTCAAGACCAACCTAGACTACACCATGAGACTTGGTCAAAAAAAATTTTAAACAAAAAAACATGCAGCCAGGCAGTGGTGGCACATGCCTTTAACCCCAGCACTTGGAAGGCAGAGATAGGTGAATCTCTGTGAGTTCAAGTCCAGCCTGGTCTACAGAGTAAAATCCAGGACAACCAGAGCTGTTACACAGGGAAGCCCTGTCTCAAAAAAAAACAAAATAACAAAAAAAGTAAAACAAAAACAAAAGAAAACTTATTTGTTCCCAGAGGTGGGGATAGGGGTGGAGTGTCCCTAGAGACCTATTTGAATGCTGTTGGCACTTCTGTAGACATCTCTTAGAAGTTTAGCAAATCTTTGGCCTAATAGAGTGGAAGGTCTCCTTAAGACAGACTGGTCAGAACACAGCTCCACTGGTTGACTCTGTCCGATATGCTGGGCCATCCTCACTTCTAACTTGAACTTGCTGCTTAGGCTTTGGGGTGGTTTGAATAAGAACATCCCCCATGGGCTCATATATTTGAAAGCTTAATCACCAGGGAGAGGAACTCTTCGAAATGGTTAGAAGGATTAGGTGTGGCCTTGTTGGAGAAAGTGTGTCACTGGGGGTGGGCTTAGAGGTTTCTCTCTTTGCCTGTGGATCAGGATGTGGCCCTCAGCTATGGTTGCGGTGCCTGCCTGCATACCTCCACCATGAAGATAATAGACTAACCCTCTAAACTGTAGCAAGTGTCTAATGAAATGCTTTTTGTTTAATCTAGGAGCTGTCGTGGTCATGTGTCTCTCCACGCAACAGAGCCGTGACTAAGACCCATGACTCCTCAGTCTCTCCCCTCGCCAGCTTTCCCCATCCCTAACCTCTGCTTTAGACATTTAAAGCTTCTAAAGTATTACTGTTTCTTCCGTGTGTGTACATGCGTGTGGAGGCCAGAGGTTGCCATCAGGCGTCTTCTGTGATCATCCCACCTTATCTTTTGAGACAGAATCTCTCAGTGAACTGGAGCTTACCAAGTTGGCTAGACTGGCTAGCCCGCAAACCCCAGGGATCCACTATTCTCTGCGTGCCCAGCCCTGGGATTACAGGCATGCACCAAATAGCAGCTTAGTATGTGGGTGTTGGGGATCTGAACCCAGGTCCACACGCTTACAGAGCAAGCATTTGCTGACTGAACCGTCTCTCCAGCCCTCTACCCACTTTTTGTCTGACTCCATGTCATCACAGTTCTTTAACGTAACTCCTTTCTCCCGGCCATTTTATTTTCCCCTAGATGGATACTGTGTGGGTACTGTTTTGCATCCGGCAGTTTTCATCCTACAAAAATCTATCGACCATCTCTGCACCAGCGTTTATGGAAAGTATAGGAGATTCAAGGCTGAAATATATCAGTGCTGCGAGGCCATCCTTCGGAGGACAGTCTACAGTTGTTATGTCTGCCTGTTCCTCAGGAAAGACAGGCAGGGCCACCAAGTCTCCTGGCATTGCAGTGATCTACAGCTCTCAGCTACCTTTTACTAAACCAGGTTCAAGTTCCTGCGTCACAGGCTCACCGGGTGATTCCCTACACAAGCCAAACAACACACTCCCCACCCTACCCCAGACTCTCCTTTGGGTCTTGCTTTGTGCATTTGAAACAAAAGGGAATTGGACCAACTTGATTTCCAAGACCCCCAAAACTTCTTGTTTTGGTCAGTTGGCCTCAATTTTGGCAACTCTATTAAGTAAGAAGGGATGATCCCGGCCTTCAGTAGGCTACCGCAAGCCCCAACTGCCTGCACTCTGGGGTCTTTCTCCCCTACCTCGGCCCGCCACCCTCCTGACCTCTCCCCTAAGCGCACGCGCACTGGCGCACGCCCGCACCCGCCACAGGTTCCGGGCTTCCGGTTCCGCCCGGACTGAGGGACCGAGGCTGATGGCGGCGGCCGAGAAGTTGGCAGCAGAAGAGGCTGTGGAGACTGAGAATCCGGGAGCTCTGAAACCCGGAGCCGCCCCGTTCGGAAATTTCCCTCATTATTCTCGCTTCCACCCTCCCGAGCAAAGGCTCCGCCTTCTACCCCGGGAGCTTCTTCGACAGCTCTTCCCTCTCGAGGGTCCCGAGAGGAGGCCGATCCTAGGGCTCGACGTGGGGTGTAACTCCGGGGTGAGTGACGCGGGAGGGATCTGAGCGCTGGGAGCCAAGCGGTCGTCGCCACCAGGGCCCCTGTGATTCTGACCTGGGCGTGGCATCAGAACTTGCCCGAAGCGGGCTTTTAAAGTTTAGTGTTGACGGACACGTGCACTTCCCAGCTCTCCCGCTGCCCCCCCCCCCCCCCCCCCCCCCCCCCCCCCCCCCCCCCCCCCCCCCCCCCCCCCCCCCCCCGCCACCGAGTTAGGAATTTTGAGTCATCCCCAAATTCATTCCAAATTCCCGCCGGACCGTGGGGGAGGAGGACCGGCTTATCTGGATTTCCGGCGCTTGCCTCCTCTCCTGTTTCGCTGGCCTCCAGGCTGGGGAACCGGGGGCCCACATCTGGGAACACTGGTTCCTAGACGAAAAGAGCCAGGGAGACAGAATCATGTCTGAAACTTAAGGCTCCAGACCTGGAGCCAGGTACGTATTTACTTAAACTTGTGCTGACAGAGTGCAACAGCGAACACTAGAGAGGATCAAGAAAGAAAACAGATCCTTCCGCCAGAGGAGGGAGCCTTAACCATCCTGCCCACCGCAAAGTGTTCTAAGGCGTGTAATGATTATAGTCGAAACCACATGCAAAACAAGGAAATGCCAATCTCACCTCTTTGTAGCCACGGGATGTCTTAATGGAGCAGGCAGTTTTACCCCACGACTGCAAATATTGCCAAAGTTAGGACCCGTGCCCATCACTCCAGAGTGGCCCCGGGTGTGATGCTAGCGCTCAAAAGATAAGGGTGGGGTCCCGGCTAGCCTGGGCTATATGAGACCCTGTTTCCAAAAACCAAAAAAAAGAAAAGAAAGAAAGAAACATTGGTAGATGGTTGAAGACCGTGAGGGCTCAGCTGAGTAGCTTCGGATATAAACAGATGGGGCTTTGTGTCCCTTGCCAGCTTCATTAGAATGTGGGAAAAAACAGACAAAGACTTCCTAAAAGGAACCCGGAAGCCACTAAAGATTTATTTATTTATTTATTTATTTATTTATTTATTTATTTATTATGTATACAATATTCTGTCTGTGTGTATGTCTGCAGGCCAGAAGAGGGCACCAGACCTCATTACAGATGGTTGTGAGCCACCATGTGGTTGTCGGGAATTGAACTCAGGACCTCTGGAAGAGCAGACAATGCTCTTAACCACTGAGCCATCTCTCCAGCCCCCACTGAAGATTTTAAAGTTGAAAACATCCTACATAAAAACACAATAGAAGGGACACAGCAGTGATGGGCTAAAGCAGTTGTTCCCAAATACGATTTATTTTTTTATTTTTATTTTTTATTTTACCTAGGGTCTCACTGTAGTAGCTACACTGCCCTGGATGCGTGTTGCCTGAAGGAAGGAGGCAGGCTTAGCAGCGCAGTGTGGGTTCTTGTGCCTTCAGGTATGACTCTGAGCTGCGTTAGCTCAGAGTCTTCTTTGATGTTTGATGACTTCTTTGATGTTTATATGAAGTGCAGGCTCTTGGCCTTTCCTGTGTCTGCTAAGTCAGCATCTGTGTTTTAAGATGACTCCATAGATGACTTAGGTACCGTTTAAAAAGGTAGGAGGGCCAGAGGAAGCAACTTCAGAGCACTTGCTTGAGGTACAGCAAGTACCAGGTGCTTGCTGCTCTTCCAGAGGACCCAGTGTTCTCCTCCAGCCTCTCTGGGCACTTGCACACATGGCATATGTAAGCGCCAAGACACATGCGTACACACACATAAATAAAAGTAAATTTTTAAAAGTCAGGAAAGTCTAGGGTGGAAAAAGGAACTCAGTGTAGCTTAAGTCTTCCTCGAGCCATAATTTTTAAAATACAGAGTTTTTTGTTAATTATTCTATACCCTCATAATAGTACACAAACATGTCTATACTTTATGATTATAAGGCAACCTTTATGACCACTGTCAAAGTAAAAAAATAAAAAATAAAGCATTGTCTACCCCATAGGTTCTTTATGTGCCGTTTCCTATTATAAAAGCCCTTTACCCACAGGGAACAACTAGCCTATTATTTGCTTTTGTTTCTATCTTACTCCTTTCCTGTCCCCAATTAATATAGTTTAGTTTTCCCACTTTGGGATTTTTTTTTTTTAAAGGAAGCCTGCATGTCTGCTCTGTCAGTACATGTCCGTAATGCCAGCACTTGAGAGACTGGAGCAAGAGCCATAGTTGGAGACCAGCCTGATCTACATAGTGAGACTTGTTTGCAAAAAAAAAAACAAAAAAGGAAAACTTGTCATGTATTTTCATTGTGGCTTGACTTTCTAGTCAGCAGCACTGAATTGAAAATTCAGTCAGTAGAGGTGAAAATACTCTATTCTCTTGTATTAAGCCAAGATCCTCAACTTTACAATGTTACTAATATTCTTTCTTTTTCCCCTCTTTGGTTTTTTGAGACAGGGTTTCTCTGTGTAGCCCTGGCTGTCCTGGAACTAGCTTTGTAGACCAGGCTGGCCCAAACTCAGGGATCCGCCTGCCTCTGCCTCCTGGGTGCTGGGACTAAAGGGGTGCGCCACCACCAGCTATTATTCCGTCTTCTTACTTCCTCCTGGGTGCTGGGACTAAAGGGGTGCGCCACCACCAGCTATTATTCCGTCTTCTTACTTGCCTCATTAGTGAACATCTGCGTGGTTTCCTCTGTGCATGTTCTTCACCTGCATGAAAAGACTAGGGACACACCTTGGAGAAACTATAAAACAAGATGTTTGAATTAGTTACAGTACCTGCATAACTATAATAGTTTCAGAGGAATGAGCTGGTGTCTCGTTTGAGTCAGAAGTCTGCTAAGATGGTAGGAATCATGTCATGAGACACAGCTAGAAACATTCACGATGACTTGAGGTGGTGAAAGCTCAGGCAGTAGGAACAAAGGCTGGATTGCTAGAATCCAGACCTTGCCAGCTACATCTAAGAAACAGGTTTCCACAAGGTCATGCTTACTGTAGTCCCCATCTTCCAAAGAGAAGGGACCCCACTCACACTTCTGAATCCCTTGCCTTTGGATATGAGACACCCAGAAAAAGAAAATGCATCTGCCACGGGCTCTTCGCTGCCTTTGTCACGTCATTTAGGCTACACTTCCAACTACACAAGTGTCAGAATATAGGTGGTCAGACATGGTGCACACATGTAACCCAGTACTTAGGAGGAGCAGGAGTTCGAGACCATCCTCAGCTACATAATGAGTTTGAGGTCAGCATGAACCACTTAAGAGTGACTCAAAAAAAAAAAAATTAGAATGTAGGATCTAGGGCAGGTGCATTACAGCTGTCAGCCTCTGGAGGGTGCTGAGAGTCTGCTCATGAAAAACCATAGCCTCTTTAGATTATTACGTTAAGAGCCTCACGTCGGTACAGTAAGAGCTAAGTGGCAGTCTCAAAGGATGAGAGATTTCTTTTCGGCTCAGTGTTTGAGAGCTGCAATGACAAGACTCTTTTGGATTCCTCTAGGACCTGAGTGTGGCTCTGTGCAAACATTTCCTTTCCCTGCGTGATGGTGAGCCCTGCTCAGGTGCCTCCAGAGACCTCCGCCTTCTCTGCTGTGATATAGATCCAGTCCTTGTGGAGCGAGCCAAAAAAGCATGCCCTTTTCCCGATGCTATGACCTTTATCACCCTGGACATCATGGACCAAAGGAACAGGAAGGTTCCCTTGACTTCTTTCTTAAGCCAGTTTGGACGTTCTGTTTTTGACATTGTCTTCTGCATGTCAGTAACCATGTGGATTCATCTGAACCACGGGGACCGTGGTCTGTGGGAGTTCCTGGCCCATCTCTCCTCTCTCTGTCGCTACCTCCTTGTGGAGCCACAGCCCTGGAAGTGTTACCGGGCCGCTGCAAGGCGCCTCCGAAAGTTGGGACTCCATAACTTTGATCACTTTAGCTCTCTCACCATCCGAGGCGATGTGACCAGTCAGATCGTGCGGATCCTGACGCAGGACCATGCAATGGAATTAGTGCGCTGCTTCGGCAACACCAGCTGGGACCGAAGCCTTCTGCTCTTCAGAGCAAAGCACACCGTGGAGACTCATCAACCCTGAACCGCTGACAAAAGAGACAGAAAGGAAGAAATGGGAATTCTGAATAGGAGGGCAAACAGGAAGAGCACCAGGGACACAATGTAACGCTTTCATACTGAGAATCGTGTTCACATCCTGGAGCAATCGAGCTCCAGACCTGGCAGGAACTTTTGGCAAAGTGTCTGAAGCAAGCAACTGAAAGAATTAGTGTCTGTGTTCCCGATGTTTGGATAGCCCCTGAGGGGAATGAATTCAGAGAGCAGTGAGCTAGGCGTCTGGATGGAGATTGTCCTGGGGAGTGAAACTGCCTTTGAAAGCTGTCTTGTTTGCTGGGGACCAAAGTTAGGGTCTTATGTGTGCTAGTCAAATAGTCTACCCCCAAGTTACACCCCCAGCTCTGCGGGATGTTTATAAAAGTCAGACTGGGTTAGTAGACTGTGTCATCTCTTCTATTTACTTATTTTTACTTTATGTGCATTGGCATTTTGCCTGCATGTGTGTGTGAGAGTGTCGGGTCTGTGAGTGCTGGGAATTGAACATGGGTCCTCTGGAAGAGCAGTCAGTGCTCTTCACTGTTGAGCCATCTCCAGGGCTGCACACTGCCACTTCTTTGAACTCCTTAAATCCAACCTGGATCTTCAGCCTTTTCTGGTCTTGCTTGGCTGCCTTGAAACAGAGCCTCGTGATGAAATCTGCAGCAAGAGGCCCTGGGCTGGCTACAGGGAGTGGCCAGGAGGGAAAGCATTTCATCTTTCTAGAGGAGGCCTAGCCTCACGCAGTAGTTATGCACTAAAAGACACACTAGCATTTTAAAATATACTTAGAAGCTGGGTATAGTGGCAGATGCTAGCACTTGACAGGCAGAGGCAGGAGGATCAGGAGTTCAAGGACAGCTTTAAGGCCAGCCTGGCATATATGAGTCCCTCCTGTCTTCAGAAAACAAAACCATTGTGATGACAACAGATGTTTAGGACTCAGGATAAAGCTTAACTGTAGACTGTTTACTCAGTACCTGTAAGGTTTGATCCCTAGCCTTCTCCTCATCCCCCACAAAAAACAACAAAAAGAATTTAATTATGAACCCTAAGATAGGTAGTGATTTGTGATTTGGTTCTACAATACAGCTCAGCAATCTTGCTTTCTCTTCCTCTCCCTTTGCCGTCTCTCTTTAGTTTTCAGGACCAGATCGAACATGGGACCTTGTACCCACTGGCAAGACTCTGCCACTGAGTCCATCCCAGCCTGGTTTTGTTTTGTTTTAATTTTCGTTTTGTTTTGTTTTTTTGATCAAAGGCATCTCTATGTAGTCTTGGTTGTCTTTGAGATTGTTATATTGACCAGTCTGGCCTTGAACCACCACCTGGCAACAATGTAAACCTTTAATCTCAGCACTTGGGAGGCAGAGGCAGGAGGATCTCTGTGAGTTCGAGGCCAGCCTGGTCTACAAGAGCTAATTCCAGGACAGGCTTTAGAACTACAGCAAAACCCTGTCTCGAAAAAAACAAAAAGAAACCAACCAAACAAACAAAAGGCTTACATTGTCATGCCTGGCCTTGTGTTTCTTTATTGCAGCAAAATTTATGTGACAATATTTGTCATGATAGCCATTTTAATTTATTTATGGTATGTGTATTTTGTTTGGTCTGCGTGTATGTCTGTGCACCATGTGCATGCAGTGCCCAAAACCACCAGAAGAGGGTAGCAGATCCCCTGGAACTGGAGTTAACAGATGGTGTGTGGATGTGCCCTCCTGAGTCCTCTGGAAGAGCAGCCAGTGCTGTTAACCACTGAGCCATCTCTCCAGCACAATTCTGTGGCATTACGTACATTCACAGTGAAGGTTCTGTTCTTAGCAGGCACTTTGATCTGGTACAAGTGAAAGAGAACACTGACGGCCTGGGATTCTCTCTAGCCTTCTGCTAACAGGCCTTCCGTTCCTGATGCTTTAACTTACCCCTGATGGCAGCTCCACCCCCAGGGCTCCAGACTAATACTGTCCTGTTTTGTAGTCATAATCCCCTGAAGTAGTTATTAGGCATCTCAGATTCAAAAGATCCCAAAAGCAAACTAATCCTATTCCAACCTAATCCCATTGTGGCGCTCATTTATTGCACACACGAGAGACTCCAGTTGGCTCCTCCTGTCTGCTCCCCGCACTGAAATAGGTGCAGTCCAGCACGTAATCTATCCCACTTACTGCACCCGTGTGGCAGCACCTGCCTTCTGAAGGCAGGATCCGGGTCCTGGGCCCTGCCCTCAGCCATAGCCATACCCACAGATCCGAAATAGCACTCTCCTTTTCCCGAACCCAGGAGAGCTAAGGATCAGAAGGAGTTTTTCAGAATAAAGTATTAAGCAAAAATAAGGTGCTGTTACTTTGTGACGTCGTTCCGCTCTGTCAAATGTTGCAGCCTACAATTATGCTTGTTGGAACAAAGGCTTACAAGGGAAAACAGCAGAAAATGTGACTCTTCCTTGTTTTTCAGGAGAAGGAGGTGTAAAATGAGGAGCTCTGATTGAAGGCCACTGAACGTTTTAAATGGTGGAAAAGTGGGAATGGAAGAACAGAAACGAAGCTAGGTTGGGGTGGTCTCAGAATGGTCGCAGTTGGAGACAGAGCTAAGTTTCCTCCTCTGTATATCTTTTTTTGGAGACAGAGTTTGTCTGTGTAACAGTACTAGCTGTCCTGGAACTAGCTCTTGTAGACCTGGTTGGTCTCAAACTCAAGAGATCCTCCTACCTCTGCCTCCCGAGTGCTGGTATTAAAGGCATGCGCCACCACCGTCCGGCCTTCTCTCTATATCTTTACTATGCGGCTCTGCTGGGCACGCTCTGTCACCCATCACCAGGACAGTACAAAGAATTATGCCACTGTGTCGGGTCACACTAGATCCCAGCATGTCCTCATACTGTCCTGGGAGCCCGTGAGTGTTAGAGCGTGCAAGGGGCTTTGCTGGTGTGATTAGGAACCCTAACCTAGGGAAGTTAACTGGGCTACCCTTTAAGAGGAAAGCAGAGATTTAACCACAGCAGACTGGGTGGCACTGAGGAAGGACCACACGCCAAAGGATGCAGGTAGCTTCCAGAAGTCAGAACTGCAAGGGGGTACAGCCTTCCTTGATTCCCTAGAAGGCACACAGCCTGCTGAGACCTTAATCTGAGATTTCTAGAATAAGCATATGTTCAAGCCACTAAACTTGTGACTTGTCACAGCAATGAACGGCACGAACACAGGAGCTTCTTTCCGTGGGACTGGCTTTGAAGGCCTCAGAACCTGGCCCAAATAACTTGTTTCATTCTTGGTTTTGCAGCCCTGGCTGTCCTGGAACTCATTCTAGACCAGGCTGGCCTCCAGCCTACAGAGATTGGCCTACATCTGCTGGGAATAAAGGTGTGCGCCACCATGCCCAGCTGTCCCAAACGACTTGATGGCAGAGAACGAGCTCAGTGAGCAAAGGATATGGAGGGGCTCCATCTCCACAGCACAGTGAGCACATGTCAGCCATGAACGCCTGCGGGTGCGGGCTGCCTGCTCACTAGGGACACGCTACAGGACAAGTAGTTGCTTGATCAGTCAGAGGATCCGCTGCTCTTCTAGAAGAACATGTGTAATTTGTGCTCATAAAGATGAGGCCATGCAAACAATGGCTGCTTAATCGCCTCTGAGCTGTGAAGACCATGAAAATGCCTTTTCTCTGAGAAGAGATCATCTTTATATCAAACCAGTGTGACTGAGGCACGGCACCAAGTCAGCTGAGCCCTTTTAGGCCTCGGGACAGACGTGAATAGAGAATGAGCTGAATAAACCTCAGCACTTTAAAAAAGACACGAGCTGGGTGTAGGGGCACTCCGGCACAGTCTCCGCACTCGGGCTGAGTTTGAGAGGAGAGCTCTAGGCAGACTTATACTATGTGACAAAGATCCCGTATCCAAAAAAATTTTACGTATATAATCAAACTGGGTGATGGTGGCGCACGCCTTTAATCCCAGCACTTGAGAGGCAGAGGCAGGCGAATCTCTGAGTTTGAGGCCAGCCTGGTCTACAGAATGAGTTTCAGGATAGCCAGGGCTATTACACAGAGAAACTGTGTCTCAAAAAACAAACACAAATTTAGATATGTAATCAAATATCTACAAAGTGTTTCCATTCAGTTAGCAGCAAAATGAGACCCACCAACCATCCCTTACACTGATGCTCCCAGTTCTGGCATTTAAATACATATGAAGGGGCTGGAGAGATGACTCAGAGGTTAAGAGCACTGACTTCTCTTCCAGAGGTCCTGAGTTCAATTCCCAGCAACCACATGGCGGCTCACAGCCATCTAAAATGAGATCTGGTGTCCTCTTCTGGTATGTAGGCATACATGGAAGGAATGTTGTATACATAACAAATAAATCTTTAAAAAATACATATGAAGTTCATCTCCATTTGGGTCAGCCATATTTCAGATGTGCATTAGCATATGGCTAGTTCACGTACTTTTGTGGCAAATGAAGAGGTTCCTGGAGGTCCTTCCATTGCCTGTCATGCCCTTAGCTGCTGCGAGATAGTGCCGGGAAGCAGACTAAACAGCCCTGGACTTCCAAGGTTAAATTCAGCCTGTTTTACAAATTCAGGTTGACCAGAAGACGCCGACAGCAGCTAAAGTGAGTGTGGAGCTTCAGGGAAGGGCGTCTATAGCTGCGGTGGGCACAGGAGAGAGACAGCTGTCAGTGAGAGGGTGTGGAACGATGCCAGGAGCAGTCCCTGTTAACCTGACGTAAGGGACCCAACTACTGAGTTCAGTCACTGGGACTCATGTAAGAAAAGTTTCACGTGTTCCCACGACTTGGGCAGCAAGGTGGTATGGGAGCAGATAGAATCAAGAGCTATCCTGTCTCAACAGAGTGGAAGTCCAGAAGGAACTCCTTAAATTTGTCCTCTGACCTCCACATGCACTGCCATGGCAAGGTGTCTGCAGGCCTACCCTCACACATGGACACACATTTTAAAATTAAAAATAACAAGGTTGCAACAACTAGTGTACATGGGAAGCAAAGGCTGGTAGATTTCAGTGAGTTTGACGCTAGCCTCGTCTACATATAGAGTTCCAGGGCAACCAAGACTACATAAGATCCTATTCCAAAATACCAAGCTGGGTAGTTACTTAGGAATGGCAAGTCTTCCCCTAGCCTTCACCATTCACACACGTGTACGTGTGCACATGCACACACGTGTTGAGAAGGAAAGGTCTCTAAGATAAGAATGGTGCTAATGGTAAGATCTGCCGTTGGGTGGAGGTGGTGCACGAATGTTATCTCAGCACCCAGAAGCCTAAGGACATTTTCAAGTTTGAGGACTATGAGACAGCCTGGACTACATTACCAGTCCTGTGGCAAAAGAAGAATGGAAGAGAAAAGATCCTGCCTTTGTTTCTTTTAAAAAGAGTAGACAAGACAAGATTACCAGCTCACACTGGTAATCTAACACTCAAGAGGCAGGGCAGTGAGTCCAAGCCTAGGCCACCGAGCTACAAAAAAAAGATTCAATGTCAAAAACAAACAAACCAGGGCAGACAAGAACTTAGCAGGTGAAGGCACTTGCCACCAAGCCCAACAACCTGAGTCAGAGGGGCTGGAGAGATGGCTCAGTGGTTAAAAGCATTGCCTGCTCTTCCAAAGGTCCTGAGTTCAATTCCCAGCAACCACATGGTGGCTCACAACCATCTGTAAAGAGGTCTGGCGCCCCCTTCTGGCCTTCAGGCATACAGACAGAATATTGTAGACATAATAAATAAATAAATAAATAAATACATACATACATACATACATACATAAATAAATTAAAAAAAAAAAAAAAAACCTGAGTCAGCCCCAGAACCAACAAGAGACAACTAACTTCTGGAAGTTGTCCCAATGGCCACACATGCACTATGGCATGTGTCCTCTGTAGCATGAATTCTAGTTGTTCTTATTTCTTTTTAAGTATTTATTTATTCATTATGGATACAATATTCTGTCTGTGTGTATGCCTTCAGGCCAGAAGAGGGCACCAGACTCCATTGCAGATGGCTGTGAGCCACCATGTGGTTGCTGGGAATTGAACTCAGGACCTTTGGAAGAGCAGGCAATGCTCTTAACCTCTGAGCCATCTCTCCAGCCCCTAGTTGTTCTTAATAATAAAAACGCGAAGATGTTAAGGGGTGAAAGCTGAGAGATCAGAGAAGCAGAGCAGCCAGCCACTAGAAAGACCTTTTACCTTTATTGACTCCTTAGACTGAAGGAGCAATCCTGACTCTACAAATCCTCAGACTTGTTTCTAGGAAACCTTAGATTGCCTGCTCAGACTGAATCCACAGACCTTTAGCTCCTGTCCCCTCTGCCTTATATTCCTCTCTCCTCCCAGCCATATTACTCCTTAGTGTTGGGATTAAAGGCGTGTAACTCCCAAGTGCTGGGATCACCTTGTGTTTCTCTTTTAGAGATTCAATCGTGTAGCTCAGGGTGTCTTGAACTCACAGAGTCCTGGGATTAAAAGTGTGTGCCACCACTGCCTGGCCTCTGTGGCTAACTAGTGACTTAGCTCTGCATTCTGATCTTCAGGCAAGCTTTATTTGTTAGATCACAAACAAAATATCACTATAGTCCTCCATGACAATAAACAAATAAATGTAAGAAAAAATTGAAAAGAATATATAAATTCAAGGTAGTAAAAAAAAAATGAAAACACCCATATAAACAGGTTTAGTCATCTTAAAGAATCAAGAAAAGGATAAAATGGCTCATTGCTGGAGATGGAAAATATAACCAAAAGATTGCAAGTGTTTTTGTTTTAAAGTATATGCACTCATTTTTACTCTGTGTGTGTGTGTGTGTGTGTGTGTGTGTATATATATATGGAGAGAGAGAGAGAGAGAGAGAGAGAGAGAGAGAGAGAGAGAGAGAGAGAGAGGCATGCACATGCACACAAAATCAGAAGCTGATGTTGGGTGTCTTCTTCAATTACTTACCTTATTTATTTATTTATTTTGTTTTTCGAGACAAAGGTTTCTCTGTAGCTTTGGAGCCTGTCCTGGAACTAGCTCTTGTAGACCAGGCTTGATGAAGGAAGTCACAAAACAATCCCACACCGATTCAGAATTTTGAATAATAAAAGGGTTATTTATTTTTTTAGGGTTATTTATTTAAGGGGAAAACTTACAGATCACTGTCCTAGATAACAGTCCTCTGAGCTAACTGGAACAGAATCTAGCAGCCGGAAGCGGCAGCTGGAAGCAAGAGAGTGAGTACACGCTTTACAACTGTTTTTAGAGTATCAGAGACCACACCCAAGTAGGCTGGTTTCTTAAAGGCTACTGGCTGAAGGAGTGGAATGTGTTCCCACAGCACAGGCTGCCTTGAACTCAGAGATCCGTCTGCCTCTGCCTCCCAAGTGCTGGGATTATAGGCGTGCGCCACCACTGCCCAGCACTTCGCCTTATTTTTAATTTATTATTATTGCATACAGTATGTGTTTATGAATGCAGTGTGTGTGAGAATGTAGTGTGTTTGTGCGCACATGTGTAAATGCAGTGTGTATGAATGCAGCATGTGTGAACACAGTGTGTGTAAATGCAGCATCTGTATGTGAATGCAGTGTGTGTGTGCAAATGCAGATGAGTATGTGCCATGCAGATGTCAAAGGACAACTCAGAAGTTGCTCTCTCCTTCCACTGTGGTTCCTGGGATGAAACTCAGGTTATCAGGCCTGCACAACAGTGTCATTTATCTGCTAAATCATCTTGCTGGCCTTTAGTTTTTTGGATAGAGTTTCTCACTGAGCCTGGAGCCCACTGATTAGCTAGACTAGCTGACCAGCAAGACCCAGGGGTCTTCCTGTGCCTGTCCCTGCTTCTGCTTCCCCAGAACCAGGGTTACAGACACAAGCTGCCTCACTCAGCCAACTTTTTATGTGGGTGCTGGGGACTCCATACTCAGGTCTTCATACCTGCACTGACAGAGATCTCCCCCAGTTCCTGTATGCACTGTGTATGTGTGGTGTAAATATGAGTCATCTAGGGTGTACACACATACAGTGTGTGTGTGCGCGTGCATGCATGTGCTAAGGTGGAAGAGATTGACATCACGTGTCTTCCTTGATCACTCCATCCTATTTTTTGAAACAAAGGCTGTCATTGATCCTGGAACATACTAGTCGACCAGGTGGCTGGTCAGCAAGCTGCAGGGGTCCATGCCTCCACATTGCTGCTGTTACAGATGTGTACCACCATACCATGCTCTTCTGTGTGAGGCTGATAGTCTTTACTGAGGTTCTCACGTGTGCATGGCAGCCACTGTACTGACCGCCCCATCTCCCTGGCCCTGCACTCATATACTTTTAAAAGATTAAATTTAAATAATTTTCTATATTAAGCAACGCCTTCCTAAAACTGACTAAACAACTCTCACGGATATCCTATCGCCTCGTTCATGTTCTTCTATATCCGCCTAGTTTTTTCTCTCGCAGCCAAGATGCCTGCAAGATTTAAACACTTCCTGTCTCCATTACTGACTATGTATGCCTTTCTTTCTCAACCGTTCAAAATCTGGTTTTGCCGGTCTCCAGTGATGTGTGGCTAAAGTCAACAAGGAATGTCTGTCCTGACCCAACCTCTGAAGCACTGGAAATTAGTTGGTCCTTGGACATCTGGCTTGGACTCTGGTGATGAAATTCCTCTGGTTTTCTTCCTCCTCTGGAGACCCCTGTCTAATGCTGGCATTCCTTGGGGTCTGTTACAGTACCCCCTCACCTTCTGCATAATTTTCTCTACACTGTAGCTTCAGGCACCCCAGTTTTAATGACTCATAGATTTCTTTAGTCCAGATCCTCTCTTGAGCTTCAAAATTATTTATCCAAAGCCAACATTATCACTTCTTATTCTTTATTTTTTAATTTTTTATGTGTATGAAGGTGTTTGGCCTCCATGTGTGTCTGTGCACTAAATGCCCACCTGGTGCCTGCTGGGCCAGAAGAGACTGTCAGATCCCCTGGAACTAGGGTTACAGACAGTTGTAAGCCTCCACGTGGGTCCTGCTGGGAATCAAACCCCCGTCCTCTAAAAGAGCAGCTAGTGCTCCTAACCTCTGAACCATCTACCCAGACCTACCCCCCAACTTCCTTCCCCCTGCTGGAATATTTTCATTGTACATGATGCTGGATATCATAAAACGCATGCATTCTGACTACTCATCCTTCCACACCAGTCTTCCCCCCATTCCTGCTGGGCTCCTTTCTCCCAGTCTCTCTTCTGCTTTTGTCTTATGCTGCCTCCGGGAACTTGTACTGACCTAAAGATTGAGGCTCGTGTGCAGCTTGTCTGTAGCCTCTCCCGAGGAACAGCAGCAGCTGGGAAGGAAGTACTCATCCGTGGAGCGGCATCTCCAGTAGACATCTTCCGGGCATCTCAGTATCAACCTGTTTGGAAGTAAGCATGTCATCTCCCAAACCTTCTTTCTCCAGCATCTTTTATTTCAGTGTGTGGTCCTACTATGTGCAAAGTACCCAGTTTAAAGGTCTCGGCCTCCTCTCGCTTCCTTCCACTTCCAATCCCAAGGTCCAATGACTCTATTGCTATGTGTTTCATTTTCTTTGTTTGGTTTGGGTTTTTTGGTGTTTTGTTGTTGTTGTTGTTGTTATTTTTGTTTTTTTTGTTTTGTTTTGAGACATGGTCTCTCTATTATGAAGCCCTGGCTGTCCTGAAACTCCATTTGGAGACCAAGCTGACCTTGAACTCCCAGAGATCCCTGTGCCTCTGCTTCCTGAGAACAGCGATAAAGAAGTGCCATCACTTTAAGCCATCAGTTTCTTATGTTCCTACCTCAGACCACATCATTTCTTATTTTTTTCCCTGGTTGTTATAAATGCTTTTTGTCCGGTGGCCCTGACTTCAGTCTTACCTCTGTCTACACTGTGACCACAGTGCTTTTCCAAAATACAAACCAGCTGGGCAGTAATGGAGCACACCTTTAATCCCAGTGCTCGGGAAACAGAGGCAGGTGGATCTCTGTGAGTTTGAGGCCAGCCTGGTCTATAAGAGCTAGTTCCAGGACAGGCTCCAAAGATACAAGAAACCCTGTTGGGGGGGGGGGGGAAAGGAAGGAAGGAAGAAACATAGAAATCAAAATACAAATCTGAAGCCATGTTTGGTGGCACATCTTTGATCCCAGCACTCAGGAGGCAGAAATAGGCAGCTTTCTCTGAGTTCAAGGCCAGCCTGTGCTATAGAGGGAGTTCCAGGTCAGCCAGGGATACATACACAGTGGGACCCTTTCTCAAAAAAGAAAAACAAGATACAACATACAAATCTAATTATCATCCCGCCAGCTCTACCAGCCTCACTTAGAAGCATGCAAAGGCTCGGCTGCGTTCTTAGGGCTCAGTACAGTCTCACACTGCTCACTTTCCCAAAGTCATCCCTGCTGCTGAGCCTAATACTCTATGCACGGTGCCCAGCATAGAAAAAAGACTCAGCAAAAATTGGGGGGACTGGGCTGGAGAGATGGCTCAGCGGTTAAGAGCGTTGCCTGCTCTCTCCAAAGGTCCTGAGTTCAATTCCCAGCAACCACATGGTGGCTCACAACCGTCTGTAATGAGGTCTGGTGCCCTCTTTTGGCCTTCGGGCATACACACAGACAGAATACTATGTACATAATAAATAAAAAATAAGAAAATAAAAAAATAAAAAACAAAAAAACCCAATTCATTAATTATAAAAAAAATTGGGGGGACTGAACCTAGGACCTCACACATACCTCACACTCTACCACTGAGTCATAGCCCAGCCCTCTAATTACCTTTTGTTCTGAGATGGGGTCCCATTTAGTTGCCTAGACTGGCCTTTGAAATCACTCTGTAGCTCAGGCAGGATTTGAACTTGTGATCTTCCCAAGTAGCTACAACTACAGGCCTGGATCACAGGGTCCAACTCAAAAAGAGAAGTTCAAGGATGTGAGCAGATCCATCATATCTTGCAGGTGAGAGTTTCAAAGTATATTGGCAATGATTTACTCTTGCTGAGAAAATGGACCAAACACTAGCCAGCTCCTGTCTTCCTCTCACTAGGCAGTAGTAACATTTAGACTGTGTCCTGGAGTGATCCAACTTGAAGAATAGGTAGGGGAGGGTGTTCTAAGAAGCCAGTTATCAACCTGACCACATCTTAATGCCAGGAGTCTCAAATCTGGGTCCTCTTATCAACAACAGTAAGGTAACTATGTCAACCACTGATGGCTGACCACACAGTATTAAAGCAGGACTATGGGAAGACAGCTCATTGCTTATAAGCACTTCTTCTTGCAGAGGACCAGGGTTAAGTCTCAGCCTTCACAAGGTGGCTCACAATCATCCATAATTCAGTTCCAGGGGGTCTGATGTCCTCGTCTGACTTCTGTGGGCACCAAGCACTCAACTGGTGCACAGATTTCTATGCAGGCAAAACACCCATTCTCAAAAAGTAAATAAATCTTTGAAAAACAGCGAGAGTGTGCAGTTGAAATGCTGGCATGAGTAGAGAGGGCGTGGCTCTCCGAGGTCACCATTACTATACACATAGTTATGCTACACCATCACACGGGTTTGTAAACAGCAGCCTGCAGCAGCCTGCAGCGCCAGACACCCAAGAAGTCTAGCTTGTCTTATTACAAACAAGGACAGGAAGTGATTGGTGATGCATAATAACAATGGAGAATCAACTTTGGGACTTCAAAGTTTTAATAAACTGATTGATAAAACTGAATCAAAATTTAGTAAGCCTCATTAAAGAAAATAATGATGGAACATTGCTACAGTTTCACATCTTGTCTCTAAGGATGAATAAAGTTTGCCAAAATCTGATAGCCCAAATATCAGGTGTGTGAGAGCCTGTAAGTGTGGTGAGGACATGCAAATGTTTTGCCTTTGTTTATTAAATAAGGGTAAGTACGCGAAGTTTAAAAATCTAGATGTTGTTTGCCTCCAAAAATTCAGTCACTTGCAAACATTCAAAAACAGTTAGAAAATGCCTGGCAGACTCAAGATTCCCATCCCAAGGCACAGGAATGCAACAGACACATCATTCCTATTGGACTTTAAAGCCCGTTGAGGGAAGAACTGCGTCTAATTTTCGTTATTCTCCAGGATTAGCCCATTGATCCCTGTTCAATAAACATCAGGTGATTGAGCAAGGATTAATCAGTCCTGTAGTATTTCAAAAATGCCATAATCGAGCATCAAGAAATATGACGAAAAGGGAATGGAAGGCCATGAATTTGACTCCATGATAGAGTGCTTGCCTGATGTGTGTAAACCTCTGGGCATGGTGGCACACCTGCAGTCCTAATTCCCAGGCAGTGAGACCCTTGTTTGTTTGTTTGTTTCTGTTTTTAAATCCAAAACAACTCCTTTATCCATGGGTTCATTCTGTTTTCCATGCAAAACTCCTTGCATTAACTTTCCCCATTCCCTACCCATTCGCTTGCTTTTTACCACTCTCTTGTCCTGTCTAGACCTTGCTCCAGGTCTCTGTCTTCAGAATCCCACTTTAAGTAAGAGGCCTTCTTCAGAAAGGAACTCTTAGATTAATCCCAGCCAACCAGACCACCTTATGTTCCCATATGTTCCTTTACTGGACTCATTCCACTTTAAGGCTAATCCTGTACACCTACAACAGAAGCAATTTTAGTAAAATATACATTGTGTCCAATGTGCGATATAGTTCAGAACCTGCACATCCAGGCCAGTCAGTACAGGGCAGGTTGTGAAGGCTATAAATTATTCACAGAATAAAAAAAAAGCTGTTCAGGACCAAAATGGTGGCAGAAGCTATAGGATCACGGGAAGTTTGGGGTCAGCCTGGCCTGTATTGTGGGTTCTTGGTTAGCTAGGGTTATATAGAGACCCTGTCTCAACAACGTAACAAATAGACCAGTGAGAATGGTACTGAGCTCTTAGGATGCAAAGGCCTGAGTGAGTTAATTAGCTTGTTTTCTCTACTCCAACGGTTTGAACTGCACTTCCCTCTTCCCCGGTAGGAAGTGGCTAAAAATCAAGGCCATATCCTTTTCAGCACTAGAGATCTGCCCGCCTCTGCTTCGCGAGTGTGAGGATTAAAAAACGTGAGCAATCATACCCAGGTCTGCCTTGCATCTTAAACCTGCACTGCTTTCTACAAATGCTGACTGTTCCTCACCCAGTTTCTGGGTATCTAGGAAGACCCTGACCTACAGAAGGGAGCGACGGGAGCATTTAAGGCCAAGGAGACACTCAGGATTCTTCCCATAGATTTACACCCAACACGTAAGCAGGAAGGCAAATTACAAACACGCTCTCAACCACATACACGTGCACGCCCAGACCCACAGAAGCAGACGCGCATGCCCGTAGGCCCGCGGGAACCTACTTAGTTCTCTCTGTTCTAAACGCCCCCTTTCCAGCCCCACTTGGCCGAGCCTGTCATCCCCAACCCCGGCCCTGGGAAGGTTTGGCAGGTCAGCTCCAGCCCGGCGAGGACTGTTTCTCCGCAGAGGGGGAGGGGAGGCCCTTCCCACCCGCGCGGGCGGGCGGAAGCGGCGCGCGCCGGCCGGGCAGACTTAGCTCTCGTCCTGGGAACATCTGGACAGATCTGGGAGGGGCGCGCATCCAGGCTGAGCTTGGATTGGATGCGCGGAAAGAGGGAGGCGGGGCTTCGTCGAGGGGCGGGGCTCGTTGGCCCCTTTAAAGCCTTGACATCAAGAGGCGGCTCCGGTACCCCCCTTTCTCTGCCCCCCCACCCGAGATGCGGCCATGGACCCGGCGGACCAGGCCTGCCCAGCTCAGCACCTGATCTCGGTGAGTTCAGGCCTGTTTGGCATTTAACGGGCTGTGAGGTGGGGGGCCGTACGCCCTGGGCGGGGGCCGGGGAGTGGGGAGTGAAAGGCTCTCGTGGCACTTTAGGCTTGAAGGGGCTGCGAGGCTTCCGGCCCACACCTCGTCGCCTGCCGGTCCCTCCCGCCGCACTCTCCCAGGAGGGGTCCTGTTGTGACTTTGTCCACCCCCACCCTACCCCCTCCCGCCCCTAGCGCCATCCTCGCGCACACTCGGTGGCCCCGGAAGGGAAACTTTCGGGAGTGGGGGATGTTCCGGTGGCGGGTCTCCCTCCCTCTTTGAAAGCACTGACCTTGCCCCCACTGCGCATCCCACCCGGCCGGCATCCCACGGTCCCGGTACTGTTTAGCGGTGGTGGGTTGTAGAGGGAGGGGCTCTCCCCCCGAAGCGCAGGCGCAGACTGGAGCCTGGGGCACCCCTTCTACTCCTTCCAGTCCCCGTGGCCCGGGGCTGTAGGGTGTGGGGGAGGCGGGGAAAGGCAGAGTGACCGGGTCTTCTTGGGAACAACCCTACTGAAGCTCTGAGGGGCTATGGGATGGAGAGAACCCGACAATCTGCCTGCTCAATAGAGGCTGACGGAGGAGAATGGCTGGGCTAGAGTATGGACAGGGCAGCCCCTAGAGAAAAGGCTTTCTGGGTTTTGGCTGTGGTGCTAAAAAAAAATGCAGAGAATTTGTCAGTGCCTGATACTCCCTTGGTTTAGCAGGCCCGGGAAAGCGGCTCTTGGGACCCCCAACTCGCTCTTTACATCCAGGGCGGAAGGCCCCTCTTGTCTCCCTAGCCTTGGCGCTGTCCCAAGGATGCAGAAGGCCTTCACCTCCCCATAGGTCTGGCTTTCCAAAGGGCTCAGCCACCCAGTCTGCCCAGCAGCTGCCTTTTAAAGACCCTCCTCAGGAGCCAGTGGTCTTAGGCTTGAGGGCTTTCTTAGCTTTAAAGGCAATCTCTTATTCCCATATCCACGAACTCGCTCTTCCCTTCTCCAGCGTGTCTGCTTCTATACAATTGTCAGCCAGAGGAAGTGGTTGGAGACAGAGGCCGGGGACCAGAACTGGTTTGAGGAACCATGGAGAAAGAATCTGTCTAACCATTGTGTGCCCGGTCCTTTGAAGGGAAGTGAGCATTGCACAATTGCTTTGTTGTAGACCCTCTTTCATCTTCCAGACAACTCCCCCCAGTTCTGTCCTGAGAGCCTGGCTCTCAGATTTTGAACCCCAAGCCCACTGTGAGACGAATGGAGTTTCTTGCTCCAGAGAAACCAGGAGAGTTTTTGTCAAGAGAGGGATCCTCACAGAGATTTGTTTGGTTTTGCTTCCAGCACCTGTGGTCTGTACCTAAGGTGTCTTTGACTTTATAGTATCTTCCACCAGCTCCAGCCTTAGACAGGGAGCTGCTGGCCCAGGCTGCAGAGAAGAAGGGAGAGAAGGTTTGTGTGTGGGCACTGGGTTGCTGTCAAGATGGCTGGAGTCAGGAGCTTTGGCCCAGCAATTCCAGCCTGCTCTGACCTTGAGCAAGATAGTTTGCTTCTCTGGGGCTCAGTTTCCTTCAGCTTTGGAACTCAGCAGTAGGACCAGAAATTTCTAAAAATCCCTGGAGAGGGGAGAGAGGCCCTCCATCAGGGTGACTCCATTAAGAGAGCTAAAATGCTTGGCCACAGTGTGTCTGGATTGGACTTTAGGATTGAGAGAACAGAACCCTGTTCTGCCTGTAAATAGTGCTTTTCTGCCTTCCCTGCCGCCTTGGGATATGAACTCCTGCTGGCTCAGGTTCGGCCCACCCATCAAGGTGAGAGACACCATGATTGGGCCAGGCTTTGGGTTGGATCTTTGGGGAGGGGTTGAGGGAGAGGAGGAGGCAGCCAAGGGCCAGCGGGGTAGGCAGATTCCCAGGAGACAGTTTGCATCTCAGCTGTTGGGACTTGTCTTAGGATCTGAGCCAGGGAGCCCAGCACATTCATCCACCCTCTTGTGGGAAGAGGGCAAGGAGGGCCCCACTGCTGCTGCCCATCCTACCTGCGGGCTCTACACACTGCTCCTCTGTGCTCAGCCCAGCTCCCAGGCAGCTAGGAGACGCAGCCACAGCCCTGTTTTTCCCAGCCCCCTTACCTCTTTGAGGTAGGGCTCTCTCAGGACGCTGGGACTCCAGGTTAGGACTTGCTTTTCAGCCCATGAGCCACGAGGCTTCATGTTCTTGTTTATTTTCATCCTTGGTCTCCCAGGTGATGGGGAATATTGTTGGAGATTGTGGTGCTTAAAGAGGCCCTGGGCTGTGAGGCACAGTCTCCTGCATTGTCGTTTACTCTGTCCCCTGCCCTGGGCCCGGGGAGCCCTCTAGCCTCGGGCCTGCTACCCTAGGTGAGTGAGCTTCTACTGAAGGCTTGTAGGTTGCGAAGCCCTTGAAGTGGGTAATGGGAACTCCCAGGGAGGTCACTTTCCCAGAAGCTGTCACTGGTGGAGTTCCTATCAGACTGAAGGATGCAGCTGTTGCTAGGCAGAAGCGGCAATCCCATCTTGAGGAATGGCGGAATGGCTGTGAGGCGGGTCAGCCTGGGGCCCTGTGGAGAGGAAAGGACTGCAGCCTGAGTGAGGGGTGAGGGGCCCTGGTGTGCAGACCTGAGTCACCAGGGCGCTCGCTGGCACTGCCCAACCTCTCCCTCTCCCTCTCTCTCTCTTTTTTTTCTCTCTCTGTCCTCTCTCTCAGAACAGGTGCCCTTTTTCACTCCTGCTTCCCTCAGCCCCTCCCCCAAACCCCTATCACTCTCTGCTTTGACAACCGCTCTCCTGAACCTGGCAGCCCCTCCAGCCTGTCTGGCTGCGCTAATAGAGCGATTGGATTTTCTATACTTGGAGTTTGGAGTTTTTTGATTGAACATGCAAATTTATGTAAATCAACCTGAGATCTGCCACCACATCAAAACAATGTCGAGCCTCCACAGGCTGGAAGGAATCCGAGAGAAAAATCTAATCCCCGAGGCCCACCTTCAAGTTCAAAATGGGGAAACAGATCTGGGTATGGTGGCCCATGACCTTTAATCCCAGCACTTGGGAGGCAGAGGCAGGCAGAACTCTGAGTTCGAGGCCAGCCTGGACTACCATGAGTTCCAGGATATCCAGGGCTGCATAGTAAGACCCTGTCTCAACATTCCCACCCCAAACGGGGAGACTGGCAGAGAGGAAGTGATTCATGGGGCAGTGAGTGCCCGAGGTGGGATTCAAACCTCAGGCCTCTGGTTTACATGGTTTTCTGCCATAGTCTCATTCAAGCTTAAATCAAAGAAAGCCAGTTCTTTTTTTTTTTTAAATATTTATTTATTATGTATACAATATTCTGTCTGTATGCCTGAAGGCCAGAAGAGGGCGCCAGACCTCTTTACAGATGGTTGTGAGCCACCATGTGGTTGCTGGGAATTGAACTCAGGACCTTTGGAAGAGCAGGCAATGCTCTTAACCACTGAGCCATCTCTCCAGCCCCCAGAAAGCCAGTTCTTGAACTCAACAATTTAGAGTGTCAGCCTAGGCTTTGGGCAGCTTTCTGACTGGTTGGAGAAACACTGGAGCAGCAGAAGACAAGATCGTGGATGGCTTCCTGCCATGGTTTTGGTTCCCCTTGAGTTGCTTTTGTTTCCAGCATCAGCAAAGTGCTAGGCTCACAGCAGGCTTTGAGCATAGCTGTGGAATCTTGTTATCTGCTATCTTAGTTTGACTTTTTGCTGCTTCCCTCCTTGGATACAAGTTGGAAAGCTCTGCTTTGGGTTTCCACCCACCCCCTTGAGTGTCAGGCTGGCAGGGGCACCCTCTGCAACGTCCCACTTGCTGTGAGAAGACCATCCCAAAGGTGGGTGGGCGCTACAACGAGAAGCTTGAGCTTTTCAGTGACATTTTTTTTTTCCTGTGCTAAGGATTGAACCCAGGGCCTTACGGATGTCAGGTTCTGAACTAGACTCCTCACTTCTTGACTTGCTCTTGCTTAGGTTCCCACACCCAGCTGCCAGTTGCCCCACCCCCTGACACTTCATTGCCTCTTCTTGTACTGTGTTTGTGATGTGCAATTATGGAACTCTAGCCCTCTCTTATCCTGTGACCCCTTGTCTAGGGATGGCTCAGGCAACCATTGGCCTGCTTCCCTGTACTCCAGGAGAGTAGAGCAGGGACTCAAAGACAAAGTCCCGAATTCCCTGCCAGGGCTGCCTGCCCCGTCCTGGACACGTATCCTGTCGGTCTGTCTGCACCGTCTTCGCCACCTACATGTGGAGGGAATGCACGTCGCTAGAACATCTCCCAAACTGCAGGAGTGCAATCTCCAGTTCCCAACCGCCCAGCAGCTCAGCTCCACTGGAGCAAGATCCTTCTCCCCGGCCTCAGTTTCCCAGCAGAACTCCTAAATTAATAACACATCATCATTGGGGTGTGGCCCTGCTCCGTAATTACCGTTTTTCTCAGCTCTGGGAGTTACACAGATGAAAGAGGTCTGAGGGGGGCAGGCTGTTATTAAGGTGAATTATCATTGCTGTTATTACTGATTTCTAAAAACCCAGTAGGTGCTTGGCAGAACCCTGTTAGGCACAGCATCCTGAACCTTGTGCTGGTCCCTGAGCTCTGGGAGCTTTTTATTTAAAAAACAAAAATTGCAGGGTCAGGGGTATAACCTTGTAGTAAAGGGCTTGAGAAGCCCTGGGTTCCATCTCAAACACTGCTTTTGTTTGTTTGTTTGTTTGTTTGTCTGTTTTTAAACAGCTCCCTTAAAAGGAGGGTTGATCCACACTGGTGTTTGTATTGTTGCCTGCAGGGCCTCAACAGTAGGTGCTGCTGGCTGCATTTCTTCTATCTCAGCCTAAATCTGCTTCTGACCCCCAGGGGGAAGCTGTGATAGACCCTGGAACTCCTGGGGTCCTCAGGGACAAAGTTTCCAAAGACTGATTCACTTTACACCAGCTGGATTGATACAGGGGCTGTAATTGGTCCTTTTGT